GGGGGGGAGGGGGGTGCAGGGGCTCTCTCTCTCTCTCTCTCTCTTTCTCTCTCTCTCTCTCTCTCTCTCTCTCTCACTCACACACACACACACACACAGAGGCAGCGTGCCTACCCGTGGATCCGGTTTGGGGGAGTTCCCAGGGTTCCCCAGGGCCCTTGTAAGGAGACACTGGACACATGTAAGAGAGCTAAGAACACGCGCTCCCAGGAGGAAGGCACTACGTCAGCAATTTCACTGTCAGGAGAAGGATGTGGGATTTGAGGAGAGTAGAGTCCAGAGCACAGCTCTGGAGGTGAGTGAGGGGGTGAGAAGAGGGAGGTAAAGGTGAGGGGACCCGGTAGCGGTGGAGAATCCCAGGAGGCAGGCATTGTTTTGTTTAGTGTGGCTGGAGGCCCACTCTAGGGACGTGGCAGAGAGCTTGGACTTGAACCCAAATCCCAACTCCACCACTGGCGTGGCCTAGGCAAGCTGCCGGGCCGCCATTCTCTTACCTGTAAAATGGGACCAGTACACACTCTATAGGACCACCCTGAGGATAAAATGGGAACGTGAATGTAAAGTGGGCCTCAACCTGTGGCCGCAGCGATTGTTACCCTGGCAAAGGAGGCACATAGGGGTTCAAGGTGCCCCCCCCCTCCTCCTGAAGAGTATGTTCCCAGAAGCTGAGCCAGACTCTTGGAGCCTTTGGGATTAGGATTCCCTGATCCCACTCCTCTTTGGATGCTCACATCCAGGAAGGTATGTTCAAATGGCACACAGAAGTTTTATCACGGCTTGTTTTAAAACTCTAGTAGTAGCCAAGCTGGTGTTGCTCAGCATTTGAGCATCAACCCAGGAATCAAGAGGTCACCAGTTCCACTCCTGGTCAGGGCACTTGCCCAGGTTGCAAGCTTTATCACCAGTAGGGGGCATGCAGGAGGCAGCGGGTTGATGATGTTCTTCTCTCATCCATGTTTCTATCTCTCTATCCCTCTCCTATTCTCTCTCTCAAAATTAATAAAAACATTTTTTAGAAGTCAGATATTTTTTTAAAAAAATAAAATAAAAACTCTAGTAGTAGTGGTAGCTGCTATTCATGAAGGCTCATCTATTTGGGACGTTGTGGTAGGTACTTTACATGTATTGTCTCTAAGCCTCACAAAAACTCTGCAGAGCAGCAATGAATTAAGTCCACTTGGCTAATGAGGAAACTGAGAGGTAAATGCCTCCTGGAGGCCGCGAGCTGGTATGTGCTGGGATCCCCAAAGGCCAGAGCTCCTTCTAACACACTTTCTCTCTGGCCACTGTGTAGCCCTCTTGTAGCACTTGGCTCATTCTTTGTGACTAAGCACAATTATTTGTGTACTTAGCCTCAAATCTGTCCTAAAAAGAGGTGAGGAATATATACAGACATGAGCATTTTAATGATTAGAACGTTCATTGGGTTCTGGACATTGTTCTTCATTAGGTTACAAGACCAGGTAAACCAGTGAAGCCATATTGTCACTAGGGTCACATCATAATTATTTCACATCTTTGTCTCCAAGGTGACTGCCTTGTCGTACAGTTCCCATCCCCTCCCTGCAGCAGCCTGCTGAGCACACTTACCTCCGGTGCTAGGATGTCAAGACAGGTACACTGTCATCCATTTCATTGACACCCCTAAACCGCCTTGCGTACATGACCTAGCAGACGATGCTTGAAACTATTATCTAACAACCCTGCCTGCTAGCCCTGCCGCTGGGAGGAGGAGTCAGGCCAAGGCTGGGCTCTGCTAACAGAACATTTTGGCTAGAACCACCTACCATTCTGCCACTCCATTCCTTTTTCTTTTCTTCACTTATTCCCTCACTCCCACGCCACCCTGGTCCCCAGTTCCAGAGGAAACTGGGTACAGGCAGGCAGCCAGATGGGGGCCTTATCGGGTCATAACAGAAGGAAGTGGGAGGGGTGGGGGCAGAGGCAGGCCTAGGCAGTGGAGGGGGAAGACATTCTTGCCCCGCACTCCACCCCTGAAAACTAGCAAGTTTCAGCCCAGTGGTTTAGAGTAGGAAGTAGTCCCATCAGCCTCATTTGCACTCATTTCTAGCAGCTGTGGAAGAAATGGTAAAGGGGACTTGGGGGCGGATGGCAGGATGAAGGGCGTCAAACCGGGAGGGGACATCGTGTTGTCCCAGTGCAGAGGGGAAAGGTAAGAGCTAACCACCCAGCTCTCACCTGCAGGCACCTTCGCGGCAGGAAGGAAGTAGCTCCTTCCCCTTGTCCTGCAGGTGGTGACTCCCAGCAGGGCTGGTACTGGCCATGCCAGAGGCTGGGGCGACTCGGAGCCCGCTGGGGACCCACGAAGGGGTTCTGTTGGGAGTTCTTTAAGTCTCCAATAAGCAGAGTGAGTAGGGAATGGGGCCAAACTCTACTGTGACCCGGCTTCAGGCCCCTGGTTCTAATGACTGGTGTGACCCAGGAGCACATGGGGCATTCAGCTGACACCAGTTCCTAACCCCCTGGCTCAGTGAGTGGA